CTGTATTTTGCCTTGTCTTCCTCGTCACGCTCATGTACCGTACCGGCCGCTGCATTTTTGTCAATTTTATTTAACATATACAGCGCCTTCTGGTACATCTGTCTCATGACCACGCCCGAGGGTTTTCTTTTCTTAGAGGCGGGGTTGCTGCCTGCAACGGCCGCCGATTTGCTGGTTGTTGGCTGCTCGTCCGGAGTACTACGGCAGGCACTACCGGTGCTATTTTTGACTATTTGCAGAGTGGTGATACTTTGTCTGGCATCTTCCACCCTGCTGGTTTCTGGCGCTTGTACAACTGGGGTACTATGGCTGGCGCCACCAGGAGTACTTGCAGCCATCTTACCTGACCTTGGGGATTTGAGGAGCTGCTCCTCCTCTGACAGCGTTACGTCGTCCCCTTCTTCGCTGGTACGCTGTTCCTGTTGCTGTTGTTGGTTTGTTTGTTGTTGTTGTTTGTTTGTTTTTGTTTGTTTTTGTTCCATATGTGGTCCCACGAGTAGTCCGGAAAGGGTTAGTCACTCGTCCGCAGAGCCGGTATGCATAGAGAAGGCACTTCTTACAACCGACCTTGCCCGGGCATCGGAGGGGACCGTACGCGACCAGCCATTTTTTACTACCCGCTGGCCATTCATCCATCGGCACGGTTGCCTACACACCTTGGCTTGGGTAGTGTTGGTACGGTAATCCTGCCATTTCCACCTTCAGCAATAAAAACAACACTCCAGCTTGGATTGTTAAGGAATATTGCCGAAGGCTTCAATACCAGGCTTCCCTCTTAGTTCATGGAGGCATGATACAATTCACACTGTGAGTTATACCATGACACCATTTAAGCCCCCTCGCCACGGCAAGACGACCAACGCTGAGGAGGAATCCACCTATACACCACCACCTACACCACCTATTCGATAATACGATGAAATGACAGATATGTTGTGTTGTGGTGACTTTCATTCCATTGGCTCTACAAAATCCCTATTGAAAAACTTGCAGACATGTTTATATTTGACTTAATTTATCCGAAGAAACAATAAACACAGCACATTATAGGAACAATTTTCCACTACGTTTTCAAACTTTTCGTACGAAATGATGCAACAAATTTGTGCAAAATTATTGAAATAAATTCAATTGATTATTATATTGATTTTTTTGAGCTCAAGGCCGGGTTGAAATAAAACAATCTGTTTTTGTTGTTTTTAAATCGTATATGTTTAAAAAAAATCAAGTACTAATTGAGAACTATATTGCAGCCATGTTTATCCTTGACTTAATTTATCCGAAGAAAAAATAAACACAGCACATCATAGCAACTATTTTTCACTATGTTTTCGATTTTTCATGTATCTGTAACCATATACGTGGTTCATGTGACAGACATAAACTGTCATATATCATGAACCGCTGGACCGAATTCGGGCACACTTCACATAACCCATCTGCGTGATAGTCCGAATATACCGTTTAAATTTGGTAGAATTCGTGCACTTATTTTTTTATTTAAGATGGGGAGTATGGAATTATTTCATATGTCTATACCAATTTCCAGTAACCTACCACAAATATTTCAAGAGATATACCAGATGAAAATTTTTGTTAGTATGGGTGGTGCCACGGGGAAACTTAACACAAACCATCTGCATAATAGCCCGACTATGCCGTATAAATTTGGTTGAAATCTTGCACCTTTTTTTTATATATAAGATGGGAGGTACTACACCCTCTTTTCCATTACCGCCCATTTTTCTCCATGAGTATGGAATTAGTTGTTATACCTCTATACCAATTTCCAGTACTCTACCACAAATATTTCAAGAGATATCTTATGTGAAGATGGGTTATGTGAAGTGTGCCCGAATTCGGTCCAGCGGTTCATGATATATGACAGTTATGTCTGTCACATGAACCACGTATATGGTACAACAGCAGATATATGAAAAATCGAAAACATAGTGAAAAATTGTTGCTATGATGTGCTGTGTTTATTTTTTCTTCGGATAAATTAAGTCAAGTATAAACATGGCTGCAATATAGTTCTCAATTAGTACTTGATTTTTTTTAAACATATACGATTTAAAAACAACAAAAACAGATTGTTTTATTTCAACCCGGCCTTGAGCTCAAAAAAATCAATATAATAATCAATTGAATTTATTTCAATAATNAGTTATAGTCTAGAAATTATTTAACAATTTTCTTACAGACTATTTACAAATTAACAAAGAACAATATACTAATGACTAGTTAAATTAATCCATTCAATACCAACTTAAACTTATCTTTCGGCAAAGAGAAATCAATGGCTATAGTATTTGGGAACATATTATACTCCTTCAGGGCCCTAGCTAAAGGAGAATTAGATGCGTAAATTGTTCTAACTGGATCTAATACAAACGTGCCATGGTTCCGCAGGTTTCTATAGGGGATACTAAAATGAATAAGTTCGAGTAAATATGGCGAGTCAATCGCTCCACGTATAATGTCAATGAGAGAATAGTTCTTCTACTGTTTAAAGACTTCAAGTTAATTAAGAGACATCTCGAATTATAAGAAGGAAACGGATCAAGAAAATGCAGAGAGCGGAGTGCAAAACGAACAAAAACTTTTTGAACACGCTCGAGCCGATTTATATGACAATCAGAGTAAGGTCTCCAGACGAATACGGCATATTCTAACTTGGAACGCACCAGAGACGTGAACAGCAACTTTAAGGTGTAAGGATCTGTGAATTCTGTACTGAAACGGCGAATGAAGGCAAGCGTGGAATATGACTTAGCGATAACATAGTTAAAATGACTATGAAAATGAAATTTTGAGTCAAAAATCACCCCAAGATCGGATATTTCATTCACAGTGCTTAAAGTTGAATCACCAATATAATATTGAGTATGAATAGGAGATCGGGATTTTGTTAATGATATATGGAAGCATTTTTGTGGATTTAGATGCAAGTGATTGTAACTACACCAAGCTATTACGTTATCAAGATCCGATTGCAGCTTGAGGGAATCAGATACATTCGAGATTGTTGAAAATATTTTTAAATCATCAACATAGAGCAGAGAATTATAAAAAACTTGTGACGGAATACTTGAACACGTTTTCTTTGACTTGACACAGCTCCAAAAAGCTTTAGGGTTCAGTTTTATGACATGTTCAAATCTGGCAATATAATTTCTATGTAGGGTCTTACTCAGAGATTTAAATTTATTCGCATAGCACAGATAATTTTCCTTGTGTTGCGGCAAATTAGAACACTTATATTTTCTAAAAAATCGGCTCTTTAAGTTCTTAATTTTCTTCAATTCCTTAGTAAACCATGGAATCTTATGGCAGTTCTTTTTCTTTAGCGGGATATAACTCCTGCAGATTTCATTAATTTTATTTCTGAAAGAAATGAAACAATCGGCAACGTCGGCCCCTACAAAAACGGTGTCCCAGTCTACCCTAAAAATTTCATTACTAACTGCATCAAAGCTACAGTTCCTAAAACTATAATTCGAAGAATAGGTATCTGATTTAAGATTTTTGAATTCGTAAAACTCCAGTTGGAGGACCACAATATTATCAATATGCGATTTGTACAAAGTGTCGGAGGTACTTGGAGGAATATATGATTCACATAATATGAGTGTCGAAGTACCAGTCACGGACACAGATAGTTGATCCAAAAGCGAATCTCCATCATACAACAAAAGAATCGACGAACGATATTTTCTATGAACAGCAACTAATAGACCTCCCCCTCTGGAGAGTCCAGTTTTAAGCGAATCTCTATCTTTACGATAGACGTTGTAGAGATTTGAATCGAAAAATTCGTTGTAAAAATCAGCAGTTAGCCAGGTCTCAACGAGGACAAAAACGTCATAGTCCAAATGTGAACTTAATTCATACAGGGACTTAGATTTAGTCCTAAGCCCAGAAACGTTTTGGTAGTAAACTCTAAGAGGCGTAGAACAAACTTCAATATCCTTAAATGCTGTTAAGGGTCTTGTTGAGTTACACCGTCTTTTGGAAAAAAACGGAACGGTCGAACCTTTACATTGACTGGCCAGATATTCGCATTAATAACCTTATCGTAATATGAGTCCGAAACTCCTAATTTAAAATTTATTTTCTTAAGATCAACCATATTAGCATCCTTTTTCACAAGCTTAAAGCAGGAAAGAATTTTCTTATCAATATCCGCATGTTTCGAAACATAAGCCAGGATGTCATCCACAGATACAGTGGGCTTAAATGAGGATACATGCAACCACTTCATAGGCGATACAACGCTTAGCTCATTATTTCTATTGGAGCCGATAAATAACGGTTTTTTAAGGTTTTCCGGTTGCTTCTTTTAACAGTTATCGACTCAGAGGGTTGATTCCCTTCAGCCAGTTCATTTGTCGCAGTCAAATCAACAGTCTGGCCACCTTGGGCAGGCAATGTATATGTCAATACAGAATTTTGCGCAGCCACCCCAGCAAAAGTCTTGGTTAATGGAGTCACTGTGTGTGTGAGAGCAGTGGTAACAGGTACAGTGCATTTATCGAATGACGAGGCAGCAGGCAGAGGCGGCGCAGTCTCTGAATTAGTACACACACCATTTGTGTTAGCAGTTGAAATCGACCTCAGCAGCAGCAGCAGCAGCAGCACGGAAAGTGGAAGCCGAATCGGCGATATTAGCATTCGCACCATCGCCAGCTTGGATAGACTGCGAAGAGCGCAAGAGAGGCTGATTAGCTGTATCCGTCATTGTTTTGCTTTTGTTTACTTCGCAAGTTCAAACCTTGACTCGTTGATGGAACCCACAAACAACGTTACGTATGTCTTTTATTTCAGCAGTTAACAAAGAAAATTTCAGCATCTTTAGCATGAAGATTAGATTGCATTGACCGAACATCGGCATGTAGAGCATCAGATTTATTTAATAATTGCTTATTATCTTCACGCATAGCACATAAGAGGGAGAGCAAACGGGCATTCTCTGCCAACACTAGTACATGCTTATTGTCATGCTCAGTAGAGTTTGCATTCGTTTTTTGTTTCAGTGCAGTAGAGCTCGCAGCACCATTAGAGGGAGCAGTCACATCCACAGTCGGAGTAGGGGAAGATGAGCAAATAGATCGACGACGTTCGGCAGTACATGATTTACAAAAGAAAAGTTTATCGGTAGAGAGCAAAAAGTCGAGATCGCTTTGTTTTATACCAACACAATTTAAATGGAAAAGCTCTTTGCATTTAGCACATTGCACCTTCGGTTGAGCACGGTCAACTTTTTGCGATTTAAAAACAACAAAAACAGATTGTTTTATTTCAACCCGGCCTTGAGCTCAAAAAAAATCAATATAATAACACTATGCGACAGTCAAAATCGGGATGGGATGAAACCAACGGGAAAGTTATATCGGTAAAAAAAGTTATACGTGGCCCGGCGTTTCGCTGGTCACTCTAGGAATCGAGATATATCATTTGAAGTTAGTAACTATCATATAGGGGAAATTGTCACCTTTGGTGGTCTTTTTTTTGACATAACTCGAGAACCACTAGTCCGATTTTGCTCAAACAAATTTAAAAAAATTAAAAATTACAATTCCTTTAATCTGTTCATATAACGTTTTTCTATATAATCAACAGTTTTGCCGGTAAAATAAATGTATGAAGAAAAAAAATATTTTTTGCCTAAAATATTAATTTTTTTAATTTTTTAAATTCATAAAAAATCCAAAACGGAAAAAAAGGCAAGTCGTATTATTTCACGCAAAGTCACATAACCTTTAAGCAAAATGAGACATAGATCATGAAAATGGATGGACGCGTTTCGCTTTTATTCACAATTAAGTGAAGGTATCTCATTGACTTTGCGTGAAAATAATACGACTTGCCTTTTTTTCCGTTTTGGATTTTTTATGAATTTAAAAAATTAAAAAAATTAATATTTTAGGCAACAAATATTTTTTTTCTTCATACATTTATTTTTACCGGCAAAACTGTTGATTATATAGAAAAACGGTATATGAACAGATTAAAGGAACTGTAATTTTTAATTTTTTTAAATTTGTTTGAGCAAAATCGGACTAGTGGTTCTCGAGTTATGTCAAAAAAAAGACCACCAAAGGTGACAATTTCCCCTATATGATAGTTACTAACTTCAAATAGATATATCTCGATTCCTAGATGTGACCCAGCGAAACGCCGGGCCACGTATAACTTCTTTTTTACCGATATAACTTTCCCCGGTAGTTTGAACCCTTCCCGATCACTGACCCCTACCATTTGTCTCACAGTGTAATCAATTGAATTTATTTCAATAATTTTGCACAAATTTGTTGCATCATTGCGTACGAAAAGTTTGAAAACGTAGTGGAAAATTGTTCCTATAATGTTCTGTGTTTATTGTTTCTTCGGATAAATTAAGTCAAATATAAACATGTCTGCAAGTTTTTCAATAGGGATTTTGTATAGCCAATGGAATGAAAGTCACCACAACACAATATATCTGTCATTTCATCGTATTATCGAATAGGTGGTGTACATTGATATTCGCTCTTTCTATTTTGGACTTTGGGGAATCAACACAGTGCAGAATTTACGTGGAAATCAACAGATTTTTGGTGGTGTTTTGGTATTATTGTCAGGTGACTTTCGACAAATATTGCCCGTGATTCCACGATCAACACCGGCAGATGAGATCAATGCATGCTTGAATTCTTCCCCTCTGTGGCGATATGTGCAAAAATTGACATTACACATAGACATGCGTGTTCAGTTGCACAATAATCAATCTGAAGATCGGTTCTTGAAGCAATTGTTAGAGATCGGAAATGGCAAAGTTCGAATCGATAATACAAATGGCTTGATTACATTGCCGAAGAATTTTTGTACAATTCTCCAATTAAAAGAAAAATTGATTGAATGCGTGTTTCAAAATATTGCTCAAAATTACCTGGATCATGATTGGTTGAGAGAACGCGCAATACTGGCACCAAAAAGTGTGCATGTCAATTCAATCAATTATCAAATTCTAGAAAAATTGCCAGGTGAAGTGACAACATATAAATCTGTTGATAGCGCAATGAATCAAGATGACGCAGTGAATTATCTAGTTGAATTTTTGAATTCATTGGAACCGCCTGGTATGCCACCACATTGTTTGAATTTAAAGGTCGGCTCATCAATTATTTTACTACGGAATTTAAATGCTCAAAAACTGTGTAATGCCACAAGACTGGCAGCAAAAAAAATGATGGCGAATTTAGTTGAAGCAACAATACTGACTGGCAAAGGGAAAGGTGAAATTGTGCTCATACCGCGTATTCCACTGATAACAACAGACATGACGTTTGAATTCAAGCGTTTGCAATTCCCAGTGCGTCTAGCATTTGCCATGTCCGTCAACAAGGCGCAAGGACAAACTCTTCAAGTATGCGGATTGAATTTGGAGGAGCCGTGCTTTTCGCACGGGCAGCTATACGTGGCCTGTTCAAGAGTTGGCATCCCAAATTGTTTATTTATTCATACCCAAGATGGAAAAACAAAAAATGTTGTATATCCAAATGTGTTGGATTAAGATTTAAAATAAAGAATCAAAAATTTTGAAATAAAACAAATGATATCTTCATGCAGAAAAATTCCAGGATTTTTCATTCATTTTTCAATATTTGGTATAGAGAAGCACACCGGGGTACCGCTAGTTACTTATATATTAAATGCATTTTGATTTGTGATTTTTCAGCTAAATAATATTCTTTTAGGCAACGCAAATACTTCGGGATTTTTGGGACTAATTCCGTATTGTTGGGACTATTTCGGGTTTTGCGAAACTTCCTCGAGATTTTCTTGCTGGGGTTCTCGAGATTTTTGGACTATTACGGGATTTCTGAGAATTCTTCGGGATTTTGTAGACTATATCGGGTTTTTCGAGACAACTTCGGTATTCTCGGAGTTATCGGGCGCATATCGCGATTTACGGGACTACTTCGGGATTTTTGGGACCATTTCGAATTTTTTGTTACTATTTCGGGTTTTTCGAGTCTGTTTCGGGATCTTAGGGATTTTTAGGACCAATTCGGAATTTTTTGGACTATTTCGGGGTTTTCGAAACTACTTCGAGATTTTCAGGATTTTTGGGACTATTTCGGGATCTTCGGGACTACTCCGGGATTTTTGGGACTATTTCGGGGTTTTCGACACTACTTCGAGAGTTTCGGGACTATTACAGGATTTTCAGGACTATTCCGGGATACTTGGAGATTTTTCGAGATTTTCGGCTTTAAATCGGGATCTGCGGGATTTTTGGGACCAATTCGGAACTCGGAATTCGGATAATTGTTGAATATAATTGTTATAAGGCCATAAAATAACAAAAACAAATAACTTAAGGACGAGCACACCTAAAAGTTAAACATTCTAATAATAGAAATACATATTAGCAAAAACCAACAATACCAACAACCACATGATCAAGTGAATTGCAGCGGAATAGCTGCGCTTGATTGTGTTGGCATAACAAAAATGAAAATAGTGGAAAAAAGCAAACGATAATTTACAAGGCGTACTTAGCACGGTGCATAGGCAACTGGCTGAGTCAGTGTGATCGTCGGTTCGAATCCTACTGAAAGAAGTCTGATGAGGAAATGTGGTGATTTCCGAAATAGCTATCACTTCTCCCTTTTTTTCAAATTATTGTTGCTTTTCCACAATAAGTTTTCATTAAAAAACGGCCTCAAGTTCAATAAAAATTGTTGAATATAATTGCTATAAGGCCATAAAATAATAAAAACAAATAACATAAGGACGAGCACACCTAAAAGTTAAACATTCTAATAATAGAAATATTAACAAAAACCAACAAAATCAAAAACCACATGATCAAGTTAATTGCAGCGGAATAGCTGCGCTTGATTGTAGTTGGCTTAACAAGTGAAATAGTGGAAATAAGCAACAAGAATTAACAAGCGCACTTAGCACAGTGCGTAGGCAACTGACTGAGTCAGTGGGATCGTTGGTTCGAATCCTACTGAAAGAAGTCTGATGAGGAAATGTGGTGATTTCCGAAATAGCTATCACTTCTACCATTTTTCAAATATTGTTGCTTTTCCACAATAAGTTTTCATTAAAAAACGGCCTCAAGTTCAATAAAAATTGTTGAATAAAGATATTTTAATTTTTATGAAAAAAATATGTTTAGCAAGGAAAAAATTAAAAAGATAACAAATCTTAATTTTTTTTATATGTATTAAAGTCGACATTTTTTGGTAGCAACGAAAACACCATTAGTAAAATTTTGTCGTATGCTACATTTGTGAAGAATTTTATTCCAGCCACTTTGTATGACATACGACAAAATGTGATATAAATTTGTCCTAAGTTAGCGATACGTTTTATTCAAACATGAATAACGTAATTTGAAAAATTTTGATTATTTTAGTATGACTACATTAATAGATACCTCAATTTTTACTAAATGAACGACAACATTTTAGTAAATATCTCGGAAACTAAAGTAGATATCCAAAAACTGATAACACCAATCGAAGGATCTTATTTCAAAATATGTATATGAACTGCATCTATTTATAACTACAAATCGTCAAAATGGTGCTTACGACAATCTTTTATTCAAGCGACGATATCGCACACCTAGATCTAAAGTGTGCTAACTCAAAATTCAGATCGAAAAATACAATTGCTTGTGGATCGGACAGATTCATAACAATTAATACAAAATCAATTATAACAGTTTTTTATTTAGTGTATATAATCATGAAGCCGCTGTGGTGTAGTGGTAGGCAGTGCGCGCTTCCACTCCGCAACGCCTGGGTTCAATCCCTGGTCAAAGCAACATCGCAAAAAATATAGAAAAAAGGTTTTTTCTTAACAGCGGTTGTCCCTCGGGAGGCAATGGCAAACCTCCGAGTGTATTTCTGCCATGAAAAACAGCTTCTCATAAAAATACAATCGCCGTTCGGAGTCCGCGTAAACTGTAGGTCCCTCCGCTTTGTGTGACAACATCAAGGCGCACAGCACAAATCGGAGGAGAAGCTCGGCCAAACACTAACATATGTGTAAGCGCCAATCTATTATTAATCATGAAGATAAAAATATTTGCATTCATTGGAGGTAAGTCCTATTTTTTTTTTAGTTGATCGCACTTTAGATCTAGGTGAGCGATATGTATGTACATTAGACCGGTTTTTTAGATATACAGATTGCCCGGCGGAAAAAAAATATATTTTGGCCTAAAAATAAGCTGCATTTGAAAACTTAGAAAACCATATGCATTCAGGGAATAAAGTGTTTAAGAAAACAGTTGAAAATCGTGAATGTTATGGTCATTTGCTATGTAAAATAGCTCACAGAATCTGGTCAAAAATAAAAAAGGAATAGCTTTTAAGAATTTGCGAAATTATCGTTTTTTTTTTTAAATTAAGAAAACAGCATTTTCAATTTTTTCCAAAATATCGGGTTCTAATTCTCACATTGCGAAAAGCTCTCCACCAGATTAAAGGTCTTCGAAATCCCTATGAACTTGCTATACAATGTTTTGCAATCAAGAGTTGCAAGTTTAAGAGTTATCTGCAAATTTATGGGTGAAATCGGACACAATTTAGGTCGCATCGTTATTCTACTCTGAATTACACCTAAAAGCTGCAAACTTTTTGTTCTTATTTTTATGCTGTATTAAAGCTTATTTAATTTCGACGTATATAGATCCAAATCTTTTGCATATAGTTATAGCAAATTTAGCAACGTATCATTTCCATTGGCATGATTCTGCACATCGCAATTTAGAGAAACGGCTGACAATAGTTTGGTTTCATTAAGCAGGAATTTGTAATATTTTGTAACAATTGTTACGAATTATCATGCCTTGGCTGGCAAAAAAGGTGATAAAATAAGATAAATTGAGATAGCAAAATAACAGTTGATTTTTAACTTTCTGCAGGATAAATTTCTACTTGTAAATATTTTCCACCAAATTAAAAACTATTTTACTAAAGTTACATATAACTTCAAGCTTTTTCCATGGTTTGCGTTTTTGTCCTTTTCTATCCTCTCATATGAGAGAAATTCTCAGAATTGCTTGTAAGTTACTGTATAATTATTTTAATAGATAAAAATTAAGCTAATTTTAGGACGGGTTTTTTGTTTGACTATTTTTAGTGTACCTGACAACCATGAAGAAGACAAATTTAGTAAAATTAGATCAATTTGGTACGAAAAACAAAAAAAAAAAATTCTAACAGATTTTTTGATGCAGTTTACTTCTGATTGACACGTAGATCATGGATCCAAGGCAGAGGCGAACGCAGGTAGGGGTTTTGGTGGTTCAAATTATGTGGGGTTAATATTATGTGCTCGACAAAAGGTGTGCAAAGATTTTCAAAATGCTACAGCTCAGAGGCATTTTATGGTAGTTGATCAACAATTTCTACAATTTAGCTCAATAATCCATGCAAATTCCACAATACCTCAACTTCAAAGCCCAGTATCTCAAGAAATATCGATGTTAGCGATTTGGAGTTCCGTAACGTTTTTGTAGGAAATTGAATGTCCTACAACTTAGTAATTAACATTTTTTCTGTTGCTCTTGTTATTTACGAGATAGGGACAAAAAAGAAACGAGAATTTCATGAAAAATTGGACAGTGGACACTTTTGTACAGCATTCAATTCTGAAGAATCCCCATCATTGATTATACCATAAAATGCCTCTGACCTATAGAATTTTGAAAAAAAGCAATCAAAGTTTACGTGTAATTTAAATGGTAAATCTTTGCACGCCTTGCTAGAGCACTTAGTATTAATATTTTCAGGGATTTTTTTTTTTGTTTAGGTATTTCCCAAAAATTTCGAGGTGGGAGTAAAAGAAAATAGTCGCTAAAAAAACATCCTAATTTACATAGTACAGTGGTGATTTAAGGATATGCGCAGGCGCGACGTTACAAAAAACAAGTGGATTTTGACGTGGGTTACTAAATTTGCAAAACGCTGCGAATTGGGCAAGACTATTTGTATAAAATTTTTTGTAGTAATATTCCAAGTTTTTAAATGTACAAATCTTTTCTGCTTTTCGTTTAATCAGTTGAACTCTGTGACGTGACGTTACCTGACGTTACGTTACTAAAATTTCCATTGAAAAGGTATTTTTTTTAACGAAGAAAATATGCATTTTATGTCGAATAAACTTTTTATTTTGACATTAGCACCCCTAGCGGTTCCATTTTTTGCAAGTCTATATCCTACTAGGTTTCAACTCAACATGCTAAATTTGAAACAGATCGTAGTATACATATATGCGGCTTTTGCAAATATCTCGACCCTGGCACCACGTAGCTAGATAATTTTTCGCAAAAAGGTTTCTGCTTAAATTACTGGTATATATTATAAAAAGAGGCCAAGTTAAGGCACTAGGCCCATTCTAACTGCCCAAGATAGGTATGTAAATAAGGGAAAGTTTCCCAATAATACCAGAGTAATTATATGTAAAAAACAAAATTTTAACCGCATTTTAGCATGTCAAGAAAATAAAAAAATTGAGAACATCAGAGTTTTTATAAAAAACCGACCTGC